CGACTCGTTGTGGATGCCCATGCGCTGCGCGATGCGGATTGCCACGCTCAGTAGCGAGGACAGGGACGCAGGATCGGTACCAGGGCGGATCGAAACCTGCATCACTGAGTATAGTACATTCCCACGGCATCGATCAGCTAGACTTACTAGGTAGAGATAGAGGGCGGTCAGAGACTCGCGGTCGCTGGAGCGTAGAATACCGCAACTGCGCAGCGCCTGCTGGCATGCAAACTGATAGCCGCGCAAGAGTTCTGTTTTCGCGGCTCCGAGCAATGTATTGCATTGCTCATCCGAGAGGGTGCCAAGGGAGACGCAGTAGATGCTAAACATCAGCGCTTCGAAGGTGGGGCTGAGGTTGGCGATATCACTGGCGGCATCAATGATTCGTGTCTGCAGAGTGGGGGTGTGTGTGACTTTGAGCAGCGGATTCACGTTGTCCAGGTAGACCTGCCATAGCCGGAAGATATGCACTTGGCTTGGATGCGCCGCAGCCAGATCGACTGCGCCTACCGGCGAACCGAACAGGAGGTGGTCGTTGTTCTGGCCCTGAAACATGTGGTTCCACGCCTTCTGGATTACGGCGTGCCGCACATCATCGTTATCGTGCAGGAAGCCGGTGTCATTCACGTCGTCCTCGCCCGCGTTGCCATCGTCGTCTCTAGGACTGACAGGCTGCTGCAGTTGTCAGTGAGGTCCCAGCCCGGTCCACGCAGGTATCCGTCCTACCTCTTGGGCCATCGCATGCCAAAGGCTCCTATCAAAGAATTAGTTCTCCGCGGACTAGTGAGGCAATGCAGGACCCGAGTTCATACAATGACTTGGTCTTGACTGCGGCCCTCTCTATCGATGCATGCGCCTTGGTATCACCAAGCGTATCCTCTGACTCGGCTCCCGCTGGCAGGGCGTCGCGGCCATCATCACTGGGAGACGGATGGTCAGCGGTCGGAGAGTGGAGGGGGTCGAACTTGATCTTGTGCTGTCGAAGTAGGCGTTCATAGAGTCGCAGACGGGCCAACAACTCTCTCTCGGGAAGTCTGCGCCGTCGCTGACGAATGGCTTGCTCGCATTGTATGTTACCTCGGACACAATTGGCACAGGGGAATGTGCGGTCGCATTTGATCTTGCGTTGCTGACACAGCACGCACGCCAGCACGCGCTGGTGCTTGACAGTGGTGGTGGTGGTGGTGGTGGTGGTGGGGGGGGGGGCTGTCTGATCGGATGGAGAGATGGGCGTGGCCATCACAGAGAACAAGACTATTAATCCGGTTAGCGATAAGCCGTGCTCAGTCCGATTGCCATCCCATGGCCCAAAGCCCGAGGATGTTGTTGGGTTGGGTGAAGAAAGAAAGCAGGAATGCGAGAGCAGGTAAGCAAGCAAAACATCGAGACGGTCGGGAATTATAAGGGCCGAGGAACCCCCGCCACTTCGGAGCCTCGCACTTTCTGACCCCCGACTACACTACTTGCGGCCGGTGAATTCCGCAATGTCTTCACCATGCTCCTCTGTCTTGGACAGCAGCAAGTCCAAGTGTCGCTATAGAAGCCCCGAGGATGGAGAATAACTTCCGGGACGAAGGACTAACCCAAGCCGGAGGCCCTCCAGCCCATGCCAGGCTGCCTGAGAATCAGTCCCCAATTAGGGTTGTCTGGCTGACTGTTTTGGCTTTAATCCCTTGTATTACTACTATAGTTGCGCTAAGTAAACCAAATCATTATTTTATTACTCAGAGCTTAGCACCAATTAGTATATTTGCTATAGTAGTAATACATGTACCTCCAAAATTTATAGGCTATGCCTAAGATCACCAATCAATGAAAATACATCGATGATGTTTATCACCTTCTACCTACACGGTGGGAACTAAAAGGCTAATGGGGTTTGATAGTCAGAGAAGCTGCTCCTGCTAGACGTTCCAGGAGCTACTTTGTCTAGGTGTAAAAGTAGCCTGTCCTAGACTAATTTCGTGGTGAAAGAGGGAAACGTATTTTAAAACAGTATAACTTCAAACTTCAACCTCGAACCCCCGTTGTAGGTATTACAGTTTGCTTGTTCTAACCTGGAGTGACAAGGGGATTGATGAAACAAACTTTGGATAAAGTGTGTCGGTGCTCCCCTGCTTAATCCCAATCACCATCCAAAAGGTCTGCCACCTTCTTCCCCGCTAGAATATCCGCATGAATCTCTTCGATTGTCCACATTTTGAACTTGTGGCCCGGGGGGAAGTTCGTGTTCTGGAAGTCCGTGCCGAGCACGAGATGCGAGTACGCCTGGCCGTACTTCTCGTAGACGTACGCCTCCGGATCATGCTGGAACAGCCACTTCGGAAACCGGACCTTGACCTTCTCGGGGTCTTTCGTGAGAACCTCATTCATATCGGCCGCCCCCAGGTTCTCGGAATTGACAAATGACATCTTCTGGACGCAGCTGACCCGCTGATAGCGCAGGAGATTGTAGATACGCGCCCCCAGCGGCGCACCCCCGGGCGCACCCCCGGCACACGCCAGCTGCAAGCAAGCCGCCAGCGTGACGGCATCTTCGATCGCCAGGGTGCCCCCGCTGATCGACGCCGGCACGGTGGTATGCGCGGCGTCGCCGACCTGCACCACGCGACCGCCGGGGGACGTCCACTCGCGCCGGAGGTTCCGCCACAGGAGCGGCCAATGGACCGTGGCGCGCTGGGGCGTGTGGCGGATTAGCCCCTCGATGGCAGGATCCCAGTCCGGGATGCGGTGCAGGACATCCAGCACCTCCTGCGGATCGACATCAGGATCCCACGACTCGATGGGCTCGTTGCCGCCGGGCTGCAGGAACTTGTCGCGTGGGGTCAACCCATAGGCCACGAAGTCTGGCGAGATGAACAGCCCCAGGTGCATGCCGGGCCCGATCCAGAACTCGTGGTGGGAGTCCCCGCGCGCCACCACCTCGCCCCAGCGGGCCTGGAAGGCAGGATCCCGCAGGGCCATCTCCGTGGGCAGCGCCGCGCGGTACACCGACATGCCGCTGGAGCGCGTGGGCGCGTGCCCGCCCGCAATCAGCAGGTCTGAGCGCGTCTTGAAGGCGTCCGCGGCGACAACCAGGTGCGCCACTCGCACGCGGCCGTTCGCCGTCACCACGCCCCCGACCCCCGCGGCCTCGTCCTCGAAATACTGTTCCGCCCGCTGCCCGTACTCGACTTTCAGGCCGACACGGGCGGCCTGGCGGAGCAGCATGCGGTAAAACTTGCGGCGGATTTGGTGCGGGGCCACATAGGGCAGGCCGTGGCGCTGGGCGAGGTGCTCGGGGCTGTTGTAGCCCAGCGTGGTGGGGCCCAGAATCAGCTCCCCGTTGTGCCGGCGGTAGTACATCACGCTGTCGGATCGGTCTTCGTCGAGCTCGCGGCAAATCTCGGGCCAGTGTCGGAGCGTGCAGATGGCGGAGGGGCCGATGACGATGATGTCTCCTGGCGATGATACGGGTCAGTATGTTGACTATGCCCTACACCGTGTCTTATGGACGGTAGAATGAGAACAGACCGGTATAGACAGGCCCTAGGCTTCGTTCCAAGATTCCCACCACGTTGTGCCCTTTCCGCCAACATTCAAGCGCCGTGATCAGTCCCGCGGGCCCAGCCCCGACGATCAGCACGTTGAGGTGTGTTGAGGGAGATCGTGGAGGAAGCTCGCCTGTATTGGACGACCACTTTGCAGGGTCAAATTCTTCCTGGTCCCCATGGGTGAGATACTCGTTTGACACCATTCTCGAAGTGTGCAGCGCAGGGTGCTTCCTGGAGGATGATGCCGTGGGTGAGGAGATTGCCAACCATATATCACGGGCTCGTCCATCGTATCAGGAACCATCGCCGGAAACGTTGATGCTTTCTTTTCGATTAACTCTTGTTACCGACTTTTGGAATTAACTTGGTGGCATTGACGTCCGTCTCGTTCAAGCCCGGCTTTCGGACTCCGTTGTCGATTCGCGCGCTCGGGACATTTATATCTCGCGGGAATACACAACATCCCGGGTACGGCACAGGAAAGAAAAGTGTGGCTGTTCCATCTCCGGATAGCTCGTAGGCAAGTCATCGTAATAATAGCCCGAATGGGGGTAGCTGCAGTCGTAGATTCTGGCAATCATTTCTGAAAATGCAAGTATATTTTCCAGTTAGTCATGCTTACCTGGTAAGTCAATTCTCACCGGCTATTTCAACGATCCGTTCGCGACACATGTGTTGTTGCATAAACTCTAGGGACCATGAAGGTCGTGTTGTTAGAAACAGTAATGGTTGTATCGAGATACATTTCAATTTCAAGACTGGGTATACACAGGGTTGAGCCTAAAGAGCGCACCTCTTCGTCTTCCTTGCATATCTCCCTGCCATCCCCCCGAACCAACACTGAACTCTCGCTTCCTTGAGTATATACTGCCTTGAAATTTCTATCACGTAGAATCTCATGCCTGCCAGACTTTCACTCCGAAGACCTCGTTCCAAATGCAGGCAGGTTACCTAGATCCTGGTGTGTGTCGGTAGAGTTTGAGGGTCGAGGCGTTGCTGCGAAGCACCATATCTTGTCGGACCGTCTCAAACGCAGACCCTAAGTACAGGCGCTGCGGAGCGCAATAATGCATCCCTACTGTCTACATTGCATTGCTCGACCAATATCTTCGAGCATAGTGAAATCTAATATTGATGTTCTGAAGCTCAGAAGCTTTTAGGTCTGCGATGCATGTTTGCCTCGATACAGCCACACTGTCAATGCCTGAGACTCTCACATCCACCGCAAACAGGCCCTTCTACTTGGACAGTGTCAAAACGTCCGAAACCCCGGAGTTGGCAGCTTGTCAGTCGGGGCATAGCATCCTTCGAGTCACCTGCAAGTCAGGCTTAGCCCGAGCACAGTCCGCCAGTACCTCACCACCAGAAGCTATACACCAGCGACGTCCACAGGCAATCCTTCAAGACAGGGGCAGCGCTTCTGCAAGCAACCGGCCCCTAAGCCCAACAGCCAGAGAACATCAAACCATGTCCAAGTTCGAGTCCTTCCCGCGTCCCACCCGGACATACCACGCGCACACCTACGACCGTATCTCCAAGCACCACGGCTTCCACGGCGCGGGCAAGACCATCCTGGTGGCAGGCGGCTCGTCCGGCGTGGGCTACAGCATCTGCCAGGCGTTCGCCGAGGCCGACGTGGCGCGCATCGCCATTATCTCCCGCTCGCCGGGGCCGCAGGCCACCGCGCGGGCGGCGCTCGAGGCCGCGCACCCCACGGTGCAGATCGTCACCTACGCGGCGTCGATCACCGACCACGCGCGCATGGCCGCCATCCTCGACGAGCTCGGCCCGGTTGACGTGCTGGTGCTGAGCGCCGCCGTCGTGCACCGCCTGGGACCCGCCACCGCGGTGACGGCCGCGGAGATGCAGGCCGCGTTCGACGTCAACGTCCTCGCGCCCTTCCACCTCGTCCAGGCGTACCTGTCCACGGCGCTGCCGGCCGCGGGCACGAAGACCATCATCCACGTCTCGTCCGCCGCGGCGCAGACGCGCAGCCCCGGGCGCGTCGGCTACGGTCCCAGCAAGGCGGCCGCGACCCAGGTGATGCAGCACGTCGCGGCCGAGCGCGCCAATCCCGCGCTCCGCGTGTTCTCCTTCCACCCGGGCGCATTCTACACCCCCTCCGTCGCAGTTCATTATGCCGAGGATGCGACGCCGTGGGAGGATATCAACCTGCCGGCGCACTTTGCGCGCTGGTTGGCGGGCCCCGAGAGTGCTTTCTTGAATGGCAGGTACCTGTGGGCGCATTGGGATGTGGATGAGTTGATGGCCCTCAGGGACCGGGTGGAGCGGGATAGTAGCTTTTTGACCATCGGGCTGGTCGTGTAAATAGTTGTGGAATCGTACGGTTGATAGAACCCGTCTGCTAACCTGGTCCGGATGGAACATTCGGGGCAATAGTATATATGCGATCCATGTTCATATTCGAGACGTTCTTTCTATCCGCGTCGCTACAAAGCTCAAGACATAGATCTTCATTACACACTTGCCGGTCACGGCACTTTGTCACACTTCCTGCCTGGGAACGTATTTGCAGAACAGGCCCACCGGCAGACTCGGCCCCGGCGCGTTAAGGTCTGTCTTGCGGTCGAAGTGGGTGCTGGGCTGCCCGTTCTCATCACACCCCCTCCACTCATACATCGCCAGTGCATACGCAAGGATAATGTTCAGCTGGACCTTCGCCCACCGCATGCCCAAGCAGGGGTGTCGGCCTTGGCCCCATCCTACGACTGGAGCTCGTCAATATGCGCGGCCTCACAAAAAGAAAAAGCGGGGGATTCAACTTACAACCGTAGACCTCCTTCTTAAACTCCTCGCGCCCCTCGCGGAAGCGATCGGGGTCGTACTTGTACGGATCCGGGTATAAGTCGGGGTTAAAGTGGACCTCAGTCGTGTTGTACGCGGCGAAGGTGCCGGCGGGGACGACCTCGTCGGTGCCAGGGATGGGCACCGCGTGGGGCGCCATGTTGAGGCGGATCATCGGGAAGGCGACCCACATGCGGATGGCCTCCTTGAAGCAGAGGTCGATGGAAGGGAAGAAGGTGTCCCAGGCCTCAAGCGGGATGGCGTCGAGCTGGTCGACCAGGGGCGCGTGGGGATTCGGGGCGTGCGCCTGCGCGACGGCCTTGATCTCACGGTAGATGCGCGCCTGCCAGTCCGCGTGGTGGGCGAGGATGTTCAGCATGGCGCCGCTGAGGTAGCCGGCGTTGGCAGAGGAGATAAACAGCGCCGAGATGAAGAAGGCCACCATCCACTCGGGCGGGTCGCCGCAGTCCAGCATGTACTGCACCACGTCGTCCTGGCGCGGGGCAGCTTGTTGCAGCCGGCGCTGCACGATCGGAGTCACGATGCGGCGCAGACCGTGGCGACCCCAGCGGCGCTTCAGCTTGGCCAGCGAGGGCAGGTAGGGGAGCGCCACGGTGTGGATGCTGCTGGTGTGCATCAACAGCGACAGCACACGCTGGGTCTTCGCGAGCACCGCCGGGTCGTCGGCGATCTCGTCGCTGCACACCACGCGACCGGCCTGCTGCACCACCAGGCGATAGCACGCCTCCGTCGGGTTCAAGACGCCGGAGGCGTCCTGGCGCAGCGCTGCGAAGGCCACGCGCGCGTCCCTCGTCACGCCGGGGAGACGTTTCCCCAACTGCTCGGATTTCTGCACGTCCACCAGGCGGCGCTGGAAGTAGCTTCGGCCGTTCTGGAAGTTGCCGTGGAAGATCGCGTGCAGCGGAGGCACGAAGTCCGGGCCATGGCCGACCAGCTTCGCCCCGCGCACGAAGTCGAAGTTAGGGTTGTCGAGAAACACCTTGCGGGCTGCGGCGCCCGACACGCCCACAACGTGGTACTTGCCGAGCCAGAAGCTGAACTGCCCGGTTTTGCTCTTGGCCACGCAATCTTGCCAGAAGGCCCTAAATGCGTCGCTTAGACATTGGTGAGGAGGCGAGGAAGCGAGAGACATACCACTTTTGCGTGAAGAAGCTCCATGATCCCACGAGTGGCACGGTGTTGGAAGTGAATTGGGGCGATTTCCGGTCGACAGGAGGGGTGTACGAGAGGAAGACAATGTAGGCGAGAAAGGTCGTCACGCTCGCCGCCAACCCTGTTATCGCTGCCTTTATCGGCAGATCGAAACTATTGAACTTATCTGTGTAGGTCGCATCCATTTTGATTGGATGGTTCAGGACACAAGGGAAGGGCACAAGGTTGGCCGGTGGTTGAGACAACCCTCGTAGCTTATGTACTGTACCCTCAGCTACAATATTCCAAGAGTGCAACTGGTACAACCAGGCGCCGAGGCTCGCCAGCCAGTCTGATCATGATCGAATGATCGGGATCCGGGGGCTTGCTGACGTGCGAATCGACGATTTCTAGCTTGCAAATAACCCCTGTTGCTGCATAGCCCTAGACGGGTCGTACGGCCGGGCTCCGGGATGCTTGGAATCCCCGACGACAATAGCCCGAACACCGTCCGAAATAAAACCCATAGGTTTGACAACATGCACGCGCACTACTGCAAGGATGATCACTGCCAGGGGACATCAGATAGTTCAGCGAGTAAATAAAACCATGTAATTTTGCATGTGTGCGACCGGTCACCGTTTCCGCGATCCGATCTAGCCAACAAACACCATGCCGTCCTATCTCATCACCGGCGCCAGTCGAGGGCTCGGCTACGCCTGGCTCAAGCACCTCTCCTCCAACGCGCAAAACACAGTAATCGGCCTGGTCCGCGATGAAGCCACAGCTGAAAGCCGTCTCGCAACAGATCGACGGACCAATGTCTACCATGTCTGCGCCGACATCACCGACCCCAAAGCGCTAGCAACAGCAGCCGGGCAGGTGCGCGACATCACCGGCGGGGGCTTGGATGTGCTGATCAACAACGCCGCCATTTTGACCCCCACCAGTGCCTTCAAACCGATCACAGACCTGTCGCCCGAGGTTCTGGAGCGAGACATCTTGCATTCATGCCGCACCAATGTTGTAGGCGTGGCCCACACCGTCAACGCATTCTTACCGTTGATTCGAAGGGGACGAGCCAAAAAAGTGATCACCATCTCGTCCCTGCTGGCAGACCCGGACCTCGTTACACACTTCGCGCTGGACAATGCGACGCCGTACGCGATCTCCAAGTCGGCAGCCAACCTCCTCATGGCCAAATATCATGCATCGCTCGGAGCGACGGAAGGGATCCTGTTCATGGCACTCAGTCCTGGCGCCGTATCTAAGCCAGACGCGGCGCCGCCGACTGAGGGCGAAGCGGAGGGAAGACGGAGGATGGTCGCCAAGCTCAAAGCGTACGCGCCGCATTTCTCGGGCCCGATGACGATGGAGAAGAGTGTGCGCCGGCAGCTGGAGGTAATCGAGAACGCAACTGTGGGAACTCATGGAGGAGCTTTTGTCAGTCACTTAGGGAATAAACAATGGTTGTGAGGGATCACCAACGGAAGATCACTGCACCTTTGAGCTAGAGAGACAGACATGTGTCGTCCCCTCAGGGCAGCGGGGCTCGATGGCGGAAATCTGTGTCCTTGACCAGTGATCTAGCACGCCTTTGGCGCGTAGCACTCGCGGATACAAGACATTGAGGATTGTTGTGGTCGAGCCCCGTGATTCGTATGTGTACTCCCATAAACAACTGGATCAGTATGGAACCGACAGTCTTCCACCAATATAATAGTTACGCAGTCTACACATCTTGTGACTCTCCCAACATTTAGCATCCAGCACGAGGTGCAGTTAGATCAAAGCTATCTTGACAGGAAGATAAACGCCCCAAGAAACACAGTCATAATGGCCAGGCCAGAGGTAGACACAATCCCCGATGCTGCCCGGTGCACACCGCTTGGAAACTCCAACCCCTCACGCACGGCCCCGTCATTGATCCATTCCTCGATCCACCCAATGGTCATTCTATGTGGTCAGTTGGGAAACCGGCCGCGAATCAAGGTGATAGACCTACTGGCTCCGTCGCGTGTCCGCGAAGTTCTCATGATCCCCAAAAAGATGCTCCTTGTAGTACGGATCCTCTTTCATCTTCTTGTAGTGGTCCACGCTCTCAAACACCACCTGGCTAAAACAATCATAGTCGGCGATGTTCGACATCTGGCGATCATAGATCTGGTTCATCAAGAGGCGGGTTTGCGTCGGATTGTGAATCTGCGGCTCTGGCTCAGTTCGCGCGTGCACTGAATCCAGAAGACGATACGCACCACCGTCCACCGTTTGACTCCGTATTCCACCATCAGATCTTTGGTGAGGGGCGCCGAGACCTCGATCATATGCCGCCGATATGCCTCCTCGCTCATGCCGGGCTTGCGGTATCCCAGGATGGTCAGACAGAGATACCGACTGGGAGGGAGGCCCTCTGCTTCTGTCGCGGTCGCGGTTATCGTAGCCATCTCTGGTATTTTGCGGTGGGTATGATACTCCTATTGCAACCAGGAGGGTATTAAATGCCCCGAATATATTGGGGTGGTTCGGGTGGATTCCCAGCGTTCGGGGTCCGGGCGTCGCGGTCCGCTTTCCAATATCCCGGTTAGGGTTAGTTAGGATTGCCCGATCTCAAGCTGGTAGTAGCTATATAGGCATATAGGTAAATAACCCATGGCAAGACGAATAAAATGCACTTTACACTTTACAACCAGTCAACAACACACAGAAGGCACAACAGCAGCGACAAATCATGGGCTCGATTGACACCGCCACGCTGAACTCGCAGATCGGCCTGTCGGACGAGCACGTCGGCATCCTCTGCGACGCGGCCGTGGACAGCGCCTCGATCCAGGAAGCCAACCGGCTCCTGCAAAAGAACCACGAAGAGTGGCACATGTTCTTCCGGGATCGGGCAGGCCACAACCACATCGCGCACTCCATCCTGACCTGCCTCGCGCTAGGTGCCGCGCCGGCGGACATCCAGCGCGCCTACGACGACGGGGTGGGCATTCAGCGGCCGATCCCGGCGATCGACGACGCGACGGTCGAGCGCCTCGCCGACGAGGCGTTCTTCCTTGAGACGCTGGGCACCATCGCGCAGTACACCTCGTTCCTGGTGTTCTTCCAGCGGCAGATGGACGCACACGGATGGCAGGCGGTGGTCAACCAGTACGTGTTCTCGCGGAGTGCGATCGCCGAAAAGATGCTGGCGCGGCTGTACGAGGGGGCCTACCACCCGGTCATTCATCTGGGGCTGGGGATCGAGTTCCAGCAGCCCAGCATCATCGCCGAGGCGCTGGCGCAGGCGGCCGCCCACGACGACAGCCACATCGGCCAGCTGTTCGAGGCGTGCGAGGCGCAGGCCGCCATCGCGTACCCGCCGCAGCACCCGAAGCCGCTCCTCCAGCTGCTGCACGAGGCCCGCGCCACCGAGACGATCCGGTCCGCCCCGCGCTGGGAGGACTTCGGCAACAAGATGCGCGACGGCGTCGTCGGCCGCGCCAAGCTCGAGATGGCTTTCCTCGGCGCGCAGTTCACGATCAAGCCCGACGAGCGCGAGCTGCAGCGCCGCACCGCCGAGATGATCAGCGTGTGCGCGTACATGGCCGGCGCCAGCCAGCGGCCCGGCCGCAAGCGCAAGATCGACTTCTTCTACATGCACACACTCACCAGCTCCCTCTTCTTCAGCGTGCTCATTCGGCAGGACTGGATCCGCCTCGAGGACCGCGTGCGCCTCGTCGAGTGGAAAGCCCGCCTGGATCTGGCCTGGTACGTGGTCAGCGGGTCCGCCGAGCTGTACGAGGACGCTATCACGGACTACCACGACGACTTTAGTGCGAACATGGGCTGGACGGAGTTGTATGCGGCCGTCAACAAGGAGCACGACGATGGCCATGTGGCGAAGATGATCCGCGCGCTAAAGAACGGACAGGAGGCCTCGCGCCCGTTCGAGGCGGAACACCCCGATGCGTTCCCGGTCAAGGGCGATATGTGGCTGAAGATTGCGCGCATGGCACTGGACACGACAAAGGACTGGCCCACCGACCAGAAGTTTGTGAATTTTACGGGCTTTGATATGGGGTGGAAGATTCGGCCTGATCTTGCTTAATTCTTTCGGAATCTATCCTTTCTCAGTGTGACGCTATTGAACCTTGTCAAATGACTTTCTGCAGACTGATGCACGCGCATTGTGTATTTTAGTTCATGCTCGACGGCCAAGTTTGTGGATTTTGCGGGCTTAGAATGGGGTGGAAGATCCGGCCTGATTTTGCTTAGTTCTTTCGGAATTCTATACCGTAGCAGTGTGACTCTATTGCACCTTGTGCAGACAAACTCATGTGCATCGTGTATTTTAGATATTGCTTGATTATCGAGCTTAAATCACTAGCTAGGCCCGGTGGATGGCAGATACGCATGCAAAAAAGGGAAAAAATGCCTCGCTAGACCAGTGGCAATACACATCGGGGTGCCGGCGGGGAATTTGGCTGATCCATGCTTGTTCACCACGCTGACATTCTTCATCTCGTATCTCCCGTCCTCATCATCCGCTGCCTCAATCATCCCCGCGGCCAGATCCAGGTACGATACGAACGACTCGTCGTGATCGAGACTCAGCTCATGGCCACGTTGCGCATCCACGGCGAGCCCACCGGGCTTGATGAAGATCGTGGACACCAGATCCTCCTGCGCCCGGAGGTAAGCCTCCGTCCTGCGCAGGTCCTCGTAGACATGCGACGCGGCGGTGCGAAGGATGGGGCGAAACCACCACGGCATGTGGCGGCTCAGATGGTCGTCAATCGTGCCGGAGGAGAGCAGGAGAATCTTGGGGAGCGGTGCGCGCAGCTGGCCGTGGACCTTCAGCTTCTCCATCGCGGCAATGATGCTCTGCGCCGTGTCCAGGCCGACGTGACAGCCGGGCACGTTGTCGTTGGTCGTCACCACGTGGAAGATGGCGCGGGTGTCGCGGATACATTCGGCCAGGAGATCGATGTCGTAGATGCTCCCTTCGTAGACCGTGACGCGCTTGTTGTCGGCGACTGCTGGGATCTTTTGGCCTAGCTTCGCCTTGTTGCGGCAGTAAGCGTTGATTCTCGCATTTTCGGTGCGCAGCAGGTTATCGACGAGGGCAGTGCCGCAGTTGCCCGTGGCGCCGAGGATCGCGTAGGTCGACATGGTATGACGATAAGATTAGCGATTAATGTTTCTTCGTCTGTTATTCTCGAGTCTGGCCGACCAGTCCATGATCTTATCGATCGGGCTTCTTGGCCTGCCACTGGGGAATCGGGGTTCGGACATGGGCCCTGAGTATGACGATTGTCGGGAGATAGTAGTCCACGGGGGATGGGAATCAGCATATCGGGGTGTAGGGTATCCGATATTTGTCCTAAATCATAAGTACTTAGTTGAGCAACTCCCGTCCGTCCAAGGGGGGATGCAGGAGAGGAAGATGCTTTGGGCTGCGGTCGGGGGGTAGAATGTCCGGCCGGGGTTGTAGCCCAACAATGGCACGCAATTGACAACTCGGGGGTTAGGATGTCCGACATTGTCCGCCATCAATGAATTTGACGGCGCCACAGATCCACAGCAACCAAAATGTGGCAAACTCAATCGCTGTATAGAATCCATTGGGTAATCCGGTTGCCTGGATTGGAACTATAAAAGGCAGGCAGCGAGTATGGTTTCATGTCCCCATCAACCTACCAATCTACTAGCTACAGCCAACTGTCGTGCAGCATCATCCCCCCGTTCAATCGTACCCCATCCTGTCTTCCTTTGACTTCAAAAGATAACCATGGCCATCCGATCCCTTAACCCGAACTTCCCGGCCTGGGGCTTTGCCGCCAACGCAGAAGAACCGGGCTCAACTCACCCATGGGCGTTGCAACACAGCCACCCCTACCCATCACCCTGGGCAGCACCGGACGGGGACGGGGACGAAACCCACGAGGCCAGTGGTCCACGCAAGCCATACCCCTACCCCGGGCCGGCCAAGGGACACCCACCATACACCTTCCCCGGCGCACTCGAGGGCCGAAAGCCATACCCGTTCCCCGGGTACGCGCAGCAGCCGCACCCCTACCCCGGCCCTCTCCCATGGCACCAGCCACACTCCTACCCGGGCCCGGCGGAAGGTCGAAACCCCTACCCTTGGCCCTGGGGGGACGACGGTGAGAAGCCCAAGCCCAAGCCCAAGCCGTTCCCGCGCAAGCCGTACCCCTACCCGGGACCCGCCGAGGGCCACAAGCCGTACCCGTATCCGGGTCCCATTCCCTGGCGACAGCCTTACCCGTCCCCGTGGGGCGACGACGACGACAACAACGACGATGACGATGACAACAAATGCCAGCCCGGGTTCCCGCGCCAGCCGTACCGATTCCCGGGTGTGCAACCACACAAAGCAGGCGGATTTCCTTATCCGCAGCCGCCAGACACGTTCCCCGGGCTTCAGCAGGGTGGACCCAGTAGGCGAGGATGGGGTGCGAATGGTTCCAGTGCACGGGGCGGCTTCGACGCTCCCCACCACCCCTGGACCTTCCCCTACCCCAACCAGCCACCCTACAAGTTCCCCGGTGTCAGATCCAATAAATACCAACCGGACGTGGACGTGTTCGACACCCCCGAGGCTTTCGTGATTCACGTGCCTCTCCCGGGCGCGAAGAAGGAAGATATCGAGGTCAGTTGGGATCCCAAGGCTGTGCAGCTTGGTATCTCGGGCACGATCAGTCGGCCGGGCTCGGAGGAGCTGCTGAAGACGATTGCGCTGGATGAGCGGCGGGTGGGAGCGTTTGAGCGCCAGGTGCGGCTGGGGAGCCCCAGCAGTGCGCCGAAAGTGGAGGGCGAGGCCATCTCGGCGAAGTTGGAGGATGGGGTGCTTGTGGTGGAGTTGCCAAAGACAGAACCGGATGATGTGGAGGTGAAGAAGGTGGTGATTGAGTGAGAGGGTTGTAGGGTTGTGCGGGAAGGTGCCGAGATGGATTAATTAGGATACTGGATTAGGGGGTTGAAGTAGACAGCCAATGTACTTTATCTGTGCTCGCATCTCGCGCATTGTAACTCGTAAATATTTCTCATATCGGGACTCGGATGGCTTACAATGACTTCAAGTTCTGGCTAAGCTCAGTAGCGAAGTACACTGATGTGACACGCTTCTCCGCAAGAGGAGGAGCGGCAATATATCTTTAAGTCGTGGCTCCACTCTACTACGGCCAGATGTACGCACGGAACGCGTCGTACCAATGATTGTGGAGAGCACTATGAGGGTCCTTCTGGAGCTCAAATTTGCATTCTCTTATCAATTTATAAATCAAGAGGGCAGCGCGTAGCAAGACTAGAGAGGCGGGCGTGGACTGAATTGACACTGAACGTGCAGCGGCAACTGGCAAGGAAAGCTCCCGTCCCGCAAGGTCGACCTTCTCGACCTTCCACCCTCTCTTCATGCAAGCAAAGGGCCAATGCCTTGGAGATGACAGATATCCTGGAAATAAACATGCAGGACCAATGTTAAACACTCGTGGCTTAGCTAGAATATATTACTAATCCTACTGACCCATTTACATCTGAACTCATGGGGGCAGACCGGCAGTAGATGCGAAAGTATTTCTCCATCTGAAATGCTATGCCCAGACGAGGGCAAGGACCAGCATCGACCACCACTCGACCAGACCATCACTGTAGTTGCCCTAGTTCTCTTAGTTCTTCTCACCAAGCCGGGAGAATCGCTCTGCGGCCAGAAACATGAAACCCGGTTCAGCGGACCTCGGGCCATTCCACCATGCGAGTAGGGATTGATTTGTGTCGCCAACCCAGAATGCCCCGAAACCCGAACGCGAATCACCCGAGCTCGCTTCTCGATGCATCCATCGCCAATCATGAATAATTATACAAGTTTGCTTAGCGGCGATGTGTACTAGATAGTGTACCCGGTCAGAAATCCACAGTTGCACGAACCAACACCAAGACTAACAATCAACGATGACGATCACGATGTCCAAGACCCCTACGTTTGAAGGTACATCCCCCCCCTCCCTCCCAACCAAAGCATACTGACAACTCCCAGAGATCACAAGCTGCCAGCGCGTCCTCTTCGAATGGGCCGACAGCTACGACACGAAAGACTGGGAACGTCTGCGTAAGAGCGTGGCTCCCACCCTCCGAGTAGCCCATCCCTCCCCTCCCATAAGATCCCACAGAAACCCCTTCCCAACCACCCTTTCCCACTGCTGACTCCCTCCCCCGAAAGATTGACTACCGCTCCTTCCTCAACAAAATCTGGGAAGCGATGCCGCGCGACGAGTTCATCGGCATGGCCTCCGACCCGCGCTTCCTGGGCAACCCGCGCCTCAAGACGCAGCACCTGGTCGGGCTGAGCACGTGGGCGAAGACGGCCGACGACGCGATCGTCGGCCACCACCAGCTGCGCGTCGCGCATCAGCGGTACACGGATGAGAGCTTCACCGAGGTGGCGGTCAAGGGCCATGCGCACGGGACGGCGACGATGTGGTATGCCCGCGTCGACGGGGAGTGGCGGTTTGCGGGCGTGTGTCCGCAGATCAACTGGACGGAGTTTGATTACGATCAGGTGTTTGCGGAGGGGAAGGCGCATTTTGGGGAAGATGGGGAGCGTGAGCATTGAGGGAATACAGGTTTTGTACGGGTAGAGGAATAGAGCCGTTGTTGATTTTCGCCAACGATATCCGATTTAAGATTGCAGTGGTGAATGATCATGTGGAATTAATGGGGATAGGGGCTTCTGTAAGGGAGCGAGGATCGTACTTGCTATACCTTCATTGATTTAGTGAAGCCTTATTCTTGAATGTGGTCCTTTCTGTTTTTTATATACTTCTATATTTTTCTCTAAGAGATAGAAGAGGTCGCAGACATCCCGGCGGCTATATATAAAATGTTTTGTCCCTCAAAAATGGATTTGATCATAATGCTCTAATGATAGCGATTATATAAAAGAAAGAGTACAATGATAAATGTAAAATAGCCGCAGAAAATAGGATTCTTAGTTGTTATAGGAATCAAATCAACTGAGCATATAGAGGTCTGCTATACAGCCGCCCAACTCAGGCACCAACCTACTATCCCTTCATCTTTCTGAAGACATTTAGATAGAGGAAGTTGAACGTGAAACTATACTGGGGGCTACGTAAAATGCCCCTTGAACTTACAAGACGATATTGAGTGCTGCGAACTGAAGTCTGTATACGTATTGCAGATGATGAACAAATTGGCGCGAAAAGAGCTGTCACACTATTTCCACCAAGATTCAAAGGACAATGCAAGATCTAACTATAATACTCCTCCAACCACGATCGCAAAGCCCCGATCGTAGGATACTCCAGAAACAGACTCCCGGCCACCACAATCCCCAGTTCCTCGCGGAACTTCTCGGCGATCACGAGACTCATCAGGCTGTCCACGCCCAGGTTGGCAAATGCGGCATCATCGGTGAGATCGGACTGCTCAAGACCGGCCTCGTTAGCAATGAGGACCAAAGCCTTGCCGGATGTGCTGTCGGAGTCAACAGCAGGGGTCGCAGGGGTCGCAGGGACCGGAGCGGGAGCGGGCGCAGGTGCTGGTGGAGAGGCAGGGGTCGATGCTGACGGTATGACCTGAGCAGCAACCGCTACCACCGCAGGCTTGGACTGCGAAACAGTAGGAGCAGACGCCGGAGCAGACACGGCAGAGCCCGCGCTACCAGCAGCAGCATAGGACTTCGCGATCGACGAGTCCGGCGCGGCGAAGAAGCGGTTCATGAGGATGCGGGGGTAGCGACGAAACTGGATGCCTCCCACCATCCCCACAATCACATCATCCTGGAAGACATACACATCCCCAAGGTACACGGACGGGTCGTCGTCGGTCGGTATCATCTTGACATACGACCGGTACTTCTGGCCCGCGACCAATGGCCGCGCGAAGCGCATACTGTCCCATCCGGGAGTCACGCAGAATGTGTTGGCAGTGTCGCTCGCGTCGGAGACGTTCATGATGAACCCGGCCAGATGCGCCACGCTGTCGATGAAGTACGGAGGCACGGTGTAGCTCCCTCCGCCAGAGACGTGCTTGAGGGTGACGTCGGCAAAGGCCTCGAACTCGTGCATCACGACCGCTTGCATGCCTCGGTACTTGTCAGCGTACTCCACAAGGTTGTTGCCGAAGAGGGTGTACGCCATCTTGTGCGAGAAGCGGTTGGCGATTCCCTCCGCGGCCAGACGCTCGAGGGTCTCAATGCGGCCTTGCACGAGGTGCGCGAGCGGGCTCCAGGATGAGAGCCAGCCATCAGCATCGCCGTACACCACGCGGCAAGTTGCAAACGGTTCCGAGGTGATGCCGTCGTTGGCGACGTTCTCCCAGACGAAGTCAGCGGCCCCGGCGTTGATATCCGCTGTTGTCGCAGTGACGCGGAAGTACTGCGGTACTTTGGTGTTGCTTTGGGCGACAAGACCCTTGGTCACCTTCAGATCGGTGATGTTGACATGCACGGTCTTGGCCGCGGGGATGAGCTTCTTGTAGAGGTATTCACCGAGGGTGTATACGATGTCGCCATGGATGGACTATTTAGTTAGTGAGAGCCCGAGGCAGAAGGGTTGATAAGCACTTACGGACGTAACGACACCACAATTATTCATTTTGTGTCCGTGCGCAGCGGCAAGGAGATCCGGATGCATCAGATCTGACTGCATGACTACCTTGCCGGACGATCCGGAGAAACTCTCCTCGATGATTTGCTGCACAGTGGTGGTGCTGAGACTAGACACCGGGGCAGCCGCGGCCTGTCGATTGATGCCTTTCTCAGCATCGTAGAACGTATTGCCCTTGGTGAGCGCCCAGTCGCCTCGGTACTGGATCCAGTAATTCTTCTCGTTCCAGCTGTAGGTGGGCAGATCCAGAAGACGAAGCGATGCCTCAAAAGGCCGGTGGAACTCATCCCAGCGCACCTGCAGCCCGGCTGTGTGAAGCTGCCCCAAACTCGCTGCAAGAGTCGTCCAGTTATCCTCCCCACGACGGAAAGAGCCCACTGTTACAGGAGCAGGGTCGAAGCTGGCCTTGATAAAAGCCACACAGACCGGGTGCGGCCCGACCTCAACCCAGACAGTGTCCTTGTCGACGATCGATGTCTCTTGCGCGTTCTGCATGGCAGATAAGAAATCGACTGTTCCGCGCGTCGCCCGGCGCAGGTACTCGGCATTGAGTGACTTTTCATCAAAGACGACTTTACGCAGCAAGGGGGAGATAATAGGCAGCGTTGGTGGTCGGAAGATGACGCTCTTTCTAGCGGTCTCCTCAAACACCTCCAAAATGGGATCCGTCTGGGCGGAGTGAAAAGCAAATGGCACATCAAGGAAGATGACCCTATAGCCTTTCTCCTTGAGAGGGACAGAAACGGCTTCCATCTGCTCGGTGGTTCCCGAAAGAACAGTCTCCTTGGGGCCATTGACGCATGCAAGGTCATACGGAAGGTCCTTGACGGCATCCTCAATCTCGCGTCGCGACGCCTTGACGGCCATCATCTTGTGCGTTCCGGCAGTACACAAGGACTCCAGCATCTGAGCACGGGACCCGACCAGGAAAATAGCGTCGCTGGCGGACAGGACACCGGCAATAACAAATGCCGCGTACTCGCCGAGACTATGTCCGGCGACGACTTCGGGTCTGATACCCAATGTCTCCCAGTATTTGGCTAAGGCAATCTCGACGCTGGTGTGAGCCACTTGGGTAATGACGGGCGACCAGGCGTGGTCCTTGGGAAAACTACCATCGACGGCTGGGAGGAAGGATGGAAAGCCGTGCTGTTGACCCAGACGGTCAAGGCTATCGAGTTGAGACCGGAAGAATGGGGAGTGGTGGTACAGCTGCAGGTTCATCGACTTGTCGGCGGCGCCTTGGCCGGTGAAGACAAACGCGACTGGTGGCGCTCCGGTTGTCGGAATTGGCTTCATGGACTCGACACCTTCCAGTTTGGAAACAAGCTGTTGCTTTAAGCTGCTCATGTCTGTAGCGGTCACCGCCACACGATGGTTGTGGTGATACCGTCTGGCTGTTAGCGAGTACGCCAGGTCAGCCGTAGACACATTTTGATTCTTGTCCAGGTAGGCAACCAGCCGCTGAAGATTGCCCTTGAGGGATATTTTACTCTTGGCTGAGACTGTGAAGACATGACTGGGTCGAGGATCGGATCCAAGTCTCTCTCGCACTGGACCCTCTTCCAGCACCAATGTGGTATTACCACCAGCCGCACTGAAGTTGTTCACCACCGCAATGCGCTTTTTCTCTGGGATCCTAGACCATGCTGTAGTCTCGAAGGGGATATGCAAGTTGCGCCTGTCCATGTCTTTAGGAAAGCCCGGGTTGATGTCGGTTTTGATGCCGACATGAGGCGGGATTGCACCTTTTTGCAGCATAAGCAGAACCTTGATAAGCGCCGTCACACCGGCAGCAGCTTCTCCGTGACCAACGTTAGCCTTGACAGCACCGATATGAAGCGGCTGCTTGGAGGTTCGTCTCTTGCCCTTGACGGGGGCAAACACGTTAGTGATAGACTCCATCTCTTCGGCATCGCCTGCTTGAGTTCCCGTGCCGTGAAACTCCACGTAGCTGACATCAAGCGGGTCAATGCCGGCCCGCGCCATGACCTGCCGATACAGATCTGACTGGTGGCCGGCATGAGGATGTGTAATAGAGACAGCATTAGCGGAGTGGTTGGTAGCCGCAGCTGGAATCACGCCGAGAATGTTGTCGTTGTCCGCCAATGCATCGTCCAGCCGCTTCATTACAATCGAGCCGACACCGTCAGCGCGACAGTACCCATCAGCCGTGCAGTCCCAAGTCTTGCACGCGTTGGGCGTCTTGGTAAGGAAGTGGCCGTTACAGAGACCCGCGAACGCATCCGAGTTGGTGAGCACGTTGAGACCTCCTGCGACGACAGTGTCGACATCGCCTGCCCACAGGGCAGTGCAGGCCGCCTGGATGGTGGCCAGACTCGACGAGCACGCCGTGTCACAGTTGAAACTCGGACCCGCGAATTTGAAAAAGTAGTTGATGCGCCCAGGACCAAAGGCACGGCATCCACCGGGGATGAAGTATGTGCTGATCTCTTGGCCCGTATTGACCTCCCGATAGTCGTCACTGGCCTGCCCATACCAGGTGCCGATCCGGTTTAGATTCGTCGCAGGCGTGCGGTTCGCCACATATCCGGCTCGCTCCAGGGCTTCATATGCCGTGACGATGGCCAAGCGCTGCATGGGGTCGGTTTGTTCCGCTTCACGGGGCGACATGTTGAAGAACGGTGCGTCGAAAAGGCCCGGCTCGTCGATAAAGCACCCGTACGCGGTGTGGCTGGTGTTCATCCTCTTTCCAGTTGGATCGTGATGCGAGTCAACATCAAAGCGATCAGCCGGGATTTTGCGATGTACATCCAATCCAGCTTCAAGAAGATTCCAGAACTTCTCTGTATCCGTGGCACCACCTGGCATGCGACAGGACATGCCAACAATCGCAATCTTCGACTGCATGGAGCCTCCAGGTAGGTATTCCCCGTCGTCAGCATCGGACCCGACCCACGTCAAGAAATCGTCGGTATCAACAGGGAGATCGGTCATGTCAGACGTCAACGCACTCGAAAGCTGCTGGGCTGGAAGGGAGTGACGAAAGACCTTGATGTTGACAGCGTGAACGTCGGTCTTCGCGACCCGCTCTGCAACACCTCGGATAACATTGTCCCACACGATCTGTTTGGTCATTACTTCAAAGATCACCTGCTCGAACAGGTGTGGTGCACTGGACGCGACAAATGGCTGGCCTGAGCTGGTGGACATGACGGGAACGACGGGCCTGTATCGCGCTGGTAGCGAAGGGGACTGGACAACTGCCTGTGCGTCTTCACGCGTATAGATATGCGCTGCGTGGCATAACCCACCATAGACCGGGAGGTGGGCAAACTTTCGATCACGGAACGAGGCATAATTGCGGAAGAGGGCCTTGAGTCGAGAGGGGGGTCCGCTTACAGTGACCGAGCTTTCGCTGATAGCACTGACAAAGATCTTACTAGCTGATGGCGTCCGCTCCTTGGCTTGGATGTTATCCAGCTCTTTCTGAGCTTCATCGACGGTTATCCCATGGACGACGTATGCCCATGACTCGGAAGACTCCGCATCAACAGCCTCCAGGTTATGCGAGACGTCGCCCACGAACACGCCAAGACGAAAGGCAATGCGCAGTACTTCCACACCAGCCGTGACTGCATCGTCCAGGGATGTGGAGACTGCAACGGCTGTTGAGACCAGTATACCCACTCCCAAGCCAGTCAGTAGACTGTTGGGCCCGGTTGCCTGGTCCTCTGGGTATAGCTCGCAGTGCCTACTCAATCAGTCCAGCGCAGAAAGAACAGACAGAAATGAGAGGCTTACCCGATGTACGTCCCCAGCTGCAGCACGCAAAGCAACACTCCATCGATAGACTGAGCAAGCGGTCCCTTGCGTAGCTTTGCCTCACCAGCCAACGTCGTCACGGACTCGAAAGCAGGAACAAGATGGGCTAGTTCCGCGCGTAGCTGGCTGACCTCATTTCGCAGCGCTCTTGTGGCCTCATTCAAGAACCGAGCCAAGATGGGATGGCTGCCGTGCTTGCTGTGGTTGTGTAACCGGCGCAGAAGGTTCGAAAGGTCGTCTGTGGGAAACTCGTTGCTGAAGTAGAGGGTCTTAAGTCTGGTGGGTAGGTCCTGGGCCTCTGCTGGCGGAGTATAGGTTACCATGTCGAATGAGACTGTTGAGGCTGACGACGAGGTAGGCAACATGCCCTTGGTACTACTATAAATGGCAGCAACGTTATACCTGGAGAGGGGTAGAGGATGGATATCAGGCGAACCGAAGAGTGGAGAGTGTCTAGCGCACACGGAAATGCGAAGGAGAGTGAATCAAGATGTTCGATAAATGAGCCACATTGACATGGATGTCCAGGATAAATAACCAAGTCACTTCCTGTATCCTGAGGTTCTTGCCACCACATAGATTAGCAGCAGAGACAAATAGCCCGACTCCCGAGTCGGGATCCGGACAACGGGCTAAGCAGACGTAGCACCCCCGACGGGATATACAAATGAATCTTGCGATTTTCCGGTCTGAATTCTCAGTATTGTTTTCAAACCTGATCGTTAATCCCAGGGTCAAACATGGGTGAAGGAGGCTACCGACAGATCAACAAGACTCTCAATGTCTGCGCGTTTGATAACTATCTCGTCACGCAGCAATCACGACTACCCAAACTGCTGGATGTCGAACAGCTCAGCCCACGGGTGCTTCGAGTCCTTGGTCAGAATGCAGGAAAGGTATGCCCCTCACCGGTCGGGCGAGATGTTCGAACCTGATGGTCAGTTCAGTTCACGTTGCAAGGAACCAATACCTATATCGTGGGCACAGGGCAGCACCGCCTTATCATAGACACCGCACAGGGTTACCGTGAATGGGCTGATCTGATCGACGACACACTATCAAACCGATCCATCTCGTTGTCCCATGTGTTCTTAACCCATTGGCACGGCGACCATACCGGCGGCGTTCCTGATCTTATCCGGATGTATCCCCACCTGGTCAATGGCATCTACAAGAACTCGCCCGAGCAGAGCCAACACCCCATTGAGGACGGTCAAATCTTCCAAGTCGAAGGTGCGACCATCCGCGCAGTACACGGACCAGGTCATTCGCACGACCACATGTGCTTTATTCTTGAGGAGGAAAATGCCATGTTCACGGGCGACAATGTCCTGGGTCACGGCACGAGCGCCGTCGAGCAGCTGGGCATCTACATGGAAACGCTCCGGAAGCTGCAGGCTCAAGGGTGCAAGACAGGCTATCCCGCCCACGGTGCCGTCATTCCCGACCTAAATCTCAAGATTGCCACTGAACTGGCACAAAAGACACGTCGGGAGAAGCAGTGTCTTGCTGCGCTGGGTCGGATCCGGAAGGAAAGGTCCACGGGCCAGTTGGCTAGTGTCACTGTTAGTGAGCTTATCGATGTAGTCCATGGCACTCGGGTGAATGAAGACGTGCGCAAAATGGCATTAGAGCCATTCATGGAGGAGGTTTTGAGGAAGTTGGCTGAGGATGGGAAGGTGGCATTTCGGGTGAGGAAGGGGGTCAAGACCTGGTTTGCTCTTTGACTGCTGCAATATGTCACCACACTCAGCATTGATTTTTTTGATCCACCATAAGTGTATTTTCTCCCTGTCAGCTCATGCGGTGCACCAGTCAACTTCATCAGACTATTAAAGTTCCAGTCGCATTGTCATACAGTTCAAAGCCCGGCCTGGGATCTATATCTTACGGATAGCCACAAATCATTCCCAGGCAGTGAAACAATCGTAAAGTCTGTAAATCGGTGCAAGATGAAGCTTTATTGGCTATAAAGGTCTAGAAACAAACTGTCTAAGCAGCACCACCATCAATGCCAAGGACCTTCCCATTCACCCATTCGCTCTCGTTCGAGGCCAGGAAACACACTACTTTGGCGATATCGACGGGGTAACCGCACCGGGTCAAAGGCGAGACATGAGCCACAATCTATAGTGTTTAGCGTCCGAAAAAGCATTACGCAGAACAACGGAACTCACATCTAAAATCTGCTCCTTGGACAGCTTGTCCGCGTTGGGCAGATAGTCCTTGGCCGTCTCATGAAACATGTCGGTCACAGTGCCGCCGGGCGCCACCGCATTGACGGTGATCTTCTTGTCGCCACAGTCTTTGGCCAGGCAACGAACGAAGGTATTGATGGCGGCCTTGGAGGCGGAGTAGAGCGAATGCTTCGGCACCGTGAAGGAGTCGGCGGTGTTCGAGCTCATCAGAATGATCCGGCCATTCGAGTTCAGGTGCTTGTAGGCTTCGCGGGCGACGAAGAACTGCCCGCGGGTGTTCACGCTGAAGACGCGATCGAACTCTTCCTCGGTGACCTCGCTGAGGTGGCCAAATGAGACGACTCCGGCGTTGGAGCACACAATGTCAATCCCGCCGAACACCTTGACGGCTTCCTCGAAAAGCTTGACGGTCTGGGGCACCTGGCTGACGTCGGCCTGGAGCGCGACGGCATCGGACCCCAGCGATTTGATCTCCTCGACAACCTGGTTGGCGGGACCAGCGGATTTGCTGTAGTTGACGATGACCTTGGCGCCGCATCGGCCCAGTTCGACCGCCATCGCGGCCCCGATGCCGCGACCGGATCCGGTCACGAGAGCGACTTTGCCATCGAGACGGTAGGGGATGTACGAGATAGAACCCATTTTCAGAGTGTCGAGGACTTCTCAAGAGCACGACGCGACGAAGAATATGTTACTAGAAGTGTAGTTGCGCGGGTCGATCAAGCTATTTGTTCCCAGTCAGGGCTATTTTTCTCTTCCGAATGCCGTCCGTCCAGTTGTCGGGTCGTGAAATCCCCCGTTATTGCCCGACCCCCCATTTTCCGACCACAGGATGTCAATACATCGCAAGGGATTTTCTTTCTTGTTTTGTCGTCACCCGGTTGCATTGATGCTTAATATTCGCCCGTCATTGACTCCATTTATCAAACGGATATTTGTTACTACAACATTCAGTTGTCTTTGTCAAATCCAAGCCTTGAGATTATCTATCTTCTCAGTCGAACAATCTGGATATCCCTCCAAAACCACATTTAGCACCTGTACTACTATTGAATGAAATTCAATGACCGCCCCAGCGTCCATCCAAGCAGCAACACTGCGGCGTTTCATCTCCGCCTGGGAGAAATGGGACGCCCAGGAATGGATCTCCACCTTCTCCGACGATTTTCAACAAGTCACCCTTCCCCACAGCCTGAATATCCCCGTTCGTTCACGCAAGGAAGTGGAGATCGTTCTTCCTGCTCTCGTCGCAACCGTGAGGTCATACCAGGTACTTGACTCAGCAACGTTGGCGATTTGGCAAAATGTCGAACAATGTTGACCCAGATAGCTGCAAATTCACCACGTCATCCATGATCCAGAACACCACAAGGCGGTGGTGTATGCTGCGTCTACGGGGAAACTTCCGTGGGGAGACTGGAACCTCGAGTACGCGGCTTTTCTTACATTTACCGAAGACGGAAGGAAGATTGCGAGACTCGAGGAGATGCTCGATACCGCGTTTTTGCAAGATTTTGGGCCGAAGTTCGGGAAGTACCTGCAGGAGAATGGGGGGCCTGTGGCTGTTGCTGCTGGGGGGAAGTAAGACCCGGGATTGAACGTTTGGTCCCTTCCGCTGTAATAGAATATTTTATCCCTGAAACATAGCATGTGCACTGACTCTTGCATCGTGAATTACGGTGGGTAATTTCATGAAAATGCGGCATGAATCTGCACACACCAGACACCACTGTATTCTGTTTGGCGAGGGTTGAAGGAGCTGAATTTGGGTCTGGCCTCGGAAGATGTGAGTTACCCAGGACACGATCAGGTGTATATAAAAGCCAAATAAGTTCAGCTGAGGGTAGAATGGCGCCAAGTATGAAAACATCACATTCAGTTAACATCAGATATGCATGTGCCAGTCCTCAAGCCTCCTCCTGTCCCTTAATGTACGCTTCCAACTTGGGCAGAAAGCTCTTCATAAACACCCCGTCAAACATCTCCTCGATCCGGTTCACGGACCCGCCACTCTCATCGAACCACACAAAACAGGCGTGTTCGTTCTTGTACGGCCCGAAGGGCGAGTCGGCCGTGGTGATGGCATAGATAACCGCCTTGCTCTCCGCGGGATCATGGATGACGTTGTGCACCGTCAGCTGGGTAGGATGTTAGCTTTCTGTGGATCTGGGACCAAGATCTTTGAGATGCTGTACCTGAAAGTTGGTCAGAATCGACATGAGCTTCGGGAAGAGCTTCTCGGTGATGGCCCGGGTGCGAGGCGGAACCCCGGAGCTGAAGGGCAGAGTCACCTGGGCGCAGTCGTCCGACCAGCTGGCCAGAAAGCCATCCGGTGTCCAGCCTTTCCAGCCTTCGATGAATTTGTTCAAGGTGGCGGTTTGTGTCTCGGCGGGGGCGGGCATACTGGCAGTTCTGTAGCTGGTCAAACGGTCGGAGGTCTGAGTGGAAAATACATACAATGGGGATTTCCACCACCAAGTCTTAAGGTGATATCAGGTAAGGATTCGGGGCATTCAGTCAACCCGGACGTCGGCTCAAAGGGCACGGAGTCGGAATGGCCCCCTTCGAAGAAACACCCAATGAGCAATTACCCGACAGATCCCTTCAGGGGGACTGTTTCAGAGGAAGCAGCGAAGCAACAAGCGGGAATGGTATCATGAATTTGCACATTCAGCGACTTTCCAAATCAGATGAGATTGGGGACCGTAGGGTCCATCTTGGAACAAATTACGTAGGTGTAGAGGTAAAACTAGGTGGTTCAAGCTTCGCGTCACATTCAGCACCACATCATATTCTCAGTCTGCAACTATCGTCGAGTAGCCAAAATAATCTTCGCAGGCCAAGTTCCCTTGACCTCATCGTCCCCAATGAGATCTTCCATCTCCTGCCACAACTCCCCGAAATGCGGATCTTCCCGCGCGAACGGAAACGACAGCACATGCTCCTTGACACCCTCAAGCTCCGTCACAAAGCTCCACCCATCCTCCTGAACAAAGGTTTCCACATCGTCAACCCCAGTATAGACAGGCTCGTGGACCTGCACCTCAGGCGGCAAGGGAGCCGTGATGCCGCCGTTCGCCATGTTGAGGTGAATGCGCTGCGCACGGGGAAGCCACAGCCCTCCATCCAACGGGGCGACATTGTACTTGCCCTGCGTGCGGGCCATGACGGCTTCCAGCTTCTCCGGGTCATCGGCCTTAGCGAGTAAGGCTCGACCTCCGGAGTAATTGATGCGAGTGTAGACGTCCTGAATACGGGGATCCTCAAACTGCGCCGCTCCAAAGGCTGCGCAGGCAAATGTGCCCCCAGAACGGAGTTGGCGCGCGATTACGCTCATTGCAAGCGGCTGGTCGCAGAAATGCATGACGTTGGTCGCAAAGACCATATCCACGCTGCCGGGAGCGATGTCGTCGCTCTCTTCGACCCGGGCAGCGCGGTAGCTGAACCCATCGTTCCCGAGACGACCCTCGGCGAGGACGACGTTCTCCTTCGCGATGTCGGAGATAATCACATGCTGGAACTTGGAGCGGAGGATGTGTGCGTAGGGCCCGTTGCCGGCGCCCACATCGTGCACCGTCCCGAACTTGCCCCCGTGCGATTGGTGGTAGTTGAAGAGGCGCTGGAAAAAGACGTCGGGCGCGGAGGGGCGGCCTTTGAGGTAATTGTTCCAGAAGGCTTTGCCTTTGTCGAAGAGTTGGTCATTGGAGTTAGATGACAGAATTGTTGCTGTTGCCATGGTGTGTGGATGCACTGGGTTGGCAGATGCGGTGGTGGTCACTGTGTACCGTACCTGCCAAAATATTTAAACCCCGTGGACTCGCCTGCACTGGTTGGAAAACAGCGTCGGATCTCGGGGTTCGGGGGGTAGGGGATAGAGCGCCGTGGTAAAAGCCAACTCCATCTATTCTGCATCTGCAAGTGGATTACAAACATCATGTAACACTGTGCATGCACAAGAGAAATCATTACCGGGGTCTGATTTGACCCCCTCGCTCTCCGGCCCCCTCCAAGCCCTAGTAGCCCCCTCTCTCTGTGTATGGTGCAGCGGGATCATTACCTCCGCAAGCGGTCCACAATAGCCCTTGACAGGTCACACAGACGCTTCCGCAGATCCGTTTCCAGAGTGTTCACCAAGCCGGGTGAGAATGGTTTCAAGAACGCATGGAGTCCTCCTGCAAGGGGGCTGGTCATGTGCAGCGAGGGGTCACAGGTGTCCTGCGGCTCCTCCCCAGCCGTTTCGGAGATACGACGCAGCCGCTGTGACAGTCGATCGACGGATGCCTGGACGCCTGCGAGTTTGGAGAGGATGCGCTGCACGGCAATACGCTGTTCATCCTCGCACGCGCCGTCGGTGGAGGGGGGGCCCTGCAGGACGGGCTCGAGTGGGTCTTCGCCTGATGCAGCGCCCGTGGCCGCGGTGTACCATGCAATGACCCGAAAGACTACGAGAGACAGGGTGATGAGCAGGTAGCTGTCGTTGGTACAGTTGCATTGCAGAATCTTCCGGACGGTCTCACTGGTCTGCTCGTTTTGGGCGAGAACCCGTTCGAAATCGGGCAGCGCGGGCGTGGTGGCACCCGGACCGTTGCCGCACCCCGGATTGCCCGGGGACAGATCGGCTAGCAGCGCAAGAGCACGAGCCAAGCATTGGCAGCCGGCCGAGGTGGGACTGCTGATCGACAATGCTGGATTGATGTGAGGTCGTACTGCAGATGTGGGAGATGTAGGGAGCGTGATGAGCTCAGGTGCAGGGAATGAACCCGTGCGGGTGTCGTCGAGGCTGAAGTCAAAGAAGGTGGCTGCATCATCTTGCTGTTCTAGAGGAAGTCCTACGGCCGATGCGAAGAGCTCGTCTAAATCTGGGAAAGAACTCGCGGGCAGGGATGATAGGCAGTTCTCGTCGAGCGATCTCAAGGCCCCAAAGATGTCCGGGTATGGTGAGCATTGTCTCTGGAGATCGAGCGCCGGGGAGAGCCCACTACCTCCCGGTGTGGACGGACTGGTGGTATCGCTGGCCTGTGCTGACGTGAATGTGGGACTTGGTGACGCTGTGGCGGTCATTGTCGCTGTCATCGTCAAAGCCGAGTCCCTTCGTGCTCTGGGTTGAGTCTTCCCCGATGTACGACCTGCACGCTTTGCAGTGCTATACACGCAGGGGAGATCTCGTTTGGCACAGCGAGCACAGCTCGGCTTCTCTTTGGTGCATCCGACTTTGGTCGCCGCACACAAATCACAAGATTTGCGCAATTTGGACGAGGCGCGTGAAGAAGCGGTCGGCAATGGTGAAGCCATAGTATGGACCTGGAAGAAGGGAGGGTGATTCAATCGCCCAACGGGGAGTAGAGAATGCGACGAGGGCGTGGTCCCATCTTCTTAATGCTGCGCAATCTACAGCCCTTGCGGACTGCGAACTATGGTGGACAGAACTTCCCAATCACGAGCTGTGGCTTATGTCGATCCTATTAATCCCAGCTTAGACCAGTTTCCCGATTTATAAGGCGCCAAACAAAGGGTACTTAGTAGGCAGTGATGCTCCTCTTCAGCCGGAGTCACTGCGCAAGCCTTCGACTTGATTGGTATCCGGTCATCGATAAAAGCCCTAGTTCAAGTAGCACCACTCACTCCGGCCCACCTGGCAGTGTAGTCCCAGAGGCAATAGTAATGGCGAAACTCTAGCCAATGATCGGCGAAAGTGACGTGCTGCCGATAATCAATCGGTCCCCTGATCTTATGATGGCTTCCTATTGCAGGAGTCCCCGATATTAAGGCTTCCCTCGCTTTGACCTATTGATAAGCTCTATTTGAATTGATGCTGACGTGAGATCTTCGCCACTCATGAATAGCCTGAATATCAGGGAGCAAGGATCAGCGGAGATGGCTTTGGTTTGTTGCCCCAATAGGATTCTCTTCCCATGTTACCCTCAATCATTTCCAAGGCGCAGATGCAGGATTTTCACCACCCTCGAGTGTTTCTATGTGCATGGTACCAGGCAATGACTCTAGACCATCTAGCCGCCGGTGGGGTAATCTATTCATGAACACCCCTGTCATGGCGTGCACAGCTCCGATGTGCCCCTTCCCCCCCAAAATCGTCCCCATTCGTCATGATTTCATGCTCCAAACAAGCAAACACTCCACGAGGACTATTCTGGTTTTTTTTTTTTTTTTTTTTTTTTTTTTTGCTGGGATACGTTCTGGTCACAACACAAAAAAGCTTGGTCCGCACCATGTCTCGTTTATGCATTGCGCGGAGAAACCCGAAGAGTTGAAAAGGAAGAAGAATTGTTCACTTACGCACCGCAGTCTAGTGCTGACCGAGACTGACGGCGCGTTCCGCCTAGCGTTGCAGCGCATATCGCAGCTTTGCCTGTTTCTTATCAAGCTGCTGCAGATAGAATGTCCGACCGAGACACTCGTAAGCAATGTGCGGGGATTCTAACTCCCGAAGCTAGGAATGAAGGCAAACACTCTCCAGTCCTGCAGGACACGGCGTCACTGCACAGCTGTGAATATCCTCTGCAGCCCGTAAAGCCCCGCCGTCGGCGTGATGAGGGCCACGGTCACCCTGCCTCAAATCCATCGCAGGATCTGGCCAAATACATTCTACACGAGCTTGCACACTCCGAAGGCTTTTCCATCTCGCCGAAAGCGGGGCATCGTGGCCACCATACGCATAAAGCTGTGAGTTTGGATTCGACGGACGGCTATCAGCTCCTTCCTGTCTAACCTCCCATGACATGGCGTACTTAGCTCAATTGGAGGCAGTTTCGAGGGATCTTTCGGCAGCGGTCGAGGAGCTTGCCTCGCATTACAGGAATGGAGGGATAAACAGTCTAGGTGCCCGACCACCACAGCTGCTACCCACAGGAGCACCTCCAGATGTCCGCCGAGCAAGAGAGTCCGCGTTGGCAAGTCTGACTAGATTGCAAGTCATGCTGGCGGAACCGACGGATTTGCTGCAAAACCTGGCAGGCCAGGTAGTTGCCATTTATCCTCAGTGAGATACTGACTAACCAAAAGCTAGGTGCAATTACTTGCCTGTATACAATGGCTTGGCGACTGGCAAGTTCCAGCTTGTATCCCGTTGGAGGGCACCGCCTTGATCAAGGATGTTTCCAATCTTATCGGGGTCCCAGAAAGCCAGCTCAATCGGGTTATCAAAATGGCTACAACCGGGGGCTTTCTCCAGGAACCGCAGCCCGGCCTTGTGTCCCATAGCGAGATTTCCGCAGCGTTTGTGACAAAGCCCTCGTACCTCGACGCAGCCATGTTCTTGGCTGAAACGGCTGCCCCTGCCGCGTTGACCAAGGCGACAAGTATAAAGCAAGATTCCGCCTCCGATGAGCGAAAGGATGGGATCCCTTGTCTGTCTGCCTTCGCCACTGCCAGTGAAGCCCAATTGCCCCGCCTCCAGCGGCAGTGGCAGGCCTATCTCCGACATGGAACGGGCCATGTGTGCGACATGGCGATTGATGTCCTGACTTGTCTAGAGGGAGTTCGCACGACGAATGAGTCTATTGTTGAGGTAACGAACTCCCCCATCACCCGCAGCCCGCTGGTCATGTCGCTGATCTAAGTCTGAGTGAAAAGGTCGGCGCACGATCCACGGAACGGGCCATCGCTCTCGCAAACCAGTATCCATCGCTCCGCTTTACAGTCCAGCTCCAATCCTCCCGACATGACCGACTTCGGACTTCGAATCCCCGGATAACCATCTCGCATCGACCACCAGGATCACCACAGCCAATTCTCAACGCAGCACTGTACATCCTCAATTTTCCCATCCCCGTGCCAGGCTCATCATCTGCCTTGGTACCGACGCAGCTCGTGGCTGAACTTCGCGCGCATCTACCTGCGTTGCGGCTTAACCGGTCGGCTACGTTGGTCGTAATCGCTCCCTCGACGTCGGACTCTGATGAAGGGATTAGGTTGACGCGAATCCGCGACCTGTCCCTCCTACAACTGGTGAGGCAACGGGAGCTGGGATTGTCCGAAGTGATCAACCTGCTGAACGGAGTCAGTGACGGGGAGGGAAGACTGGTGCTGGTGAATCAAGTGCGGTCGGCCGGAAAGTATGGGGTTGTTGCGTTGGAAGTGAAGTATCAGCCTCATTAATTTGGCAGATAAGAAATGCGTGTAGCGATTGAAAGCGATCATCTCAAATCTACAAAATATGCTAGTGTCTCTCAAGGCCATGCCCCTTTGGTGCTTGATCAGACTGGCGCTGTTCAAACCTGCGGACTAAAGCTCAGTTATTACTAGGTGGTGTCGAGCTTTCAGTTGATGGACACCTACCTAAGTTCATCGAATGCTGTTTCTCTGTAATGCAAGCACAGAACCAAGTTTCTTGACTCCTCCCTTGGCACTTCCGGAGCCATAGTGACCGAGCTCTCAATTTCTGGTTCGATCCACTTCAGAGTTCGCAAAGAAATGATCTGTAAATAGAAGTGGCGAATCCACGAGGCGCTAGGAGCGGAGGTATTGCAAGAGCTGCAGGAAGTCGAGAGTCGACTCAAGCGCTGCCCACCAATCACAACGCACCCAGAGAAACCATTGACAATTGGAAATCGCCCTATGCATCGATGTGGCCAGCATTCCCGGCTCAGACCCTGGCTAGTCTACCCTTTGCATTCTGTGGCCTCGGGGCGCCTGTCTCCACTCTGCGTACCTTTGTCATGAGGTTGGATGGGTCGGGTTGGCGCCGGTGGGATCGGAGTTGGAGCGGGGGACAAGCCACCTTGACTCCTTCACTCTGCCCTCTCAGCAGCCAACCGGCGCGTGACAATGGGGCACTATGCCTTGGCCCATGACTCCCGCATGACTCTTTAGCTGATGAAAGCTATTCCACACTCTTTCCCCGCACTTGAGGATGTCGCAGGAGTAGACCTGGACGTTGGCAGTCTGACGAGGAGAGATGCGCGATAGTCAGTATCTCCGTAGGCGCCACCGGACTCGGACTCGAGTTGATCTCCGCTGACCTTTTGCGGTTGCATTGCACGGCGCAATTCATGCCGAGATAAGCCACTGGTCCCATTCAGGGAAGAACACGCAGAACCCGTTTTCGTTAGCAGACCTTTGGAGTTGGGGTAGAACACCTCTGGTTCAAGCCACTGTAAAGGTTATACACCTTGTTGGGCTCTCTAGGTAGCTCTCCCAGTCAAATGTTCCCACCGAGAAGCATCGGGTACTTTATTCAAGTGCAGGGTCAAGTCGGGACCTAGCTGTTAATCGTGAGCCATCACCAGCTCCCACCGTTAGATTACGAGGTTAGATGATGACTTGACTCTACCCCGTACTCAGGAGGGTGTGAAGCATGCCCTGCACACTGCATCCTTTCCTACCGGGTGCGTAGGCGCTGCCGGGAACCCACCACCGCGAGATTATGTTGCCGACCTTGACTTCCATGTCTCGAGGCATCCCTTATGAGCCCTCCCCGATGACCCAACTGATGGATTCGATGAGCTTCAGCACTCAACAGAGAGCCTTCAGAAACAGCAGACACAAGACAAGCAGCCCTGTCCGGGCGACCTTCCCGCTCGGGCATTCTTTGTAGCTGAAGTCGCAAGAGTGAAGATGTTTGGATAATCCCAGAGCGTAGTGCGCTCCTGCAAACCAAAAGTGCTACTCCTCACTCATATTGACTGAGCGGCGGGGTGGTACCTCACCGTCGATGAATTGTATGACTTCAAGGCCCTGATGGCAATAGCGATAGCTTCATGCTATCTAATCATGGCGATTTATCCTACGCCACGGTGCCTCTTTTGTATCCGATGATTGGCTTATAATGCGGCCTTTAAATGAAATAGGATACCACATTATATACGACGTCATTTAAGGACAGCTAAAGGCCGGGTCTAGACTATCATGCTCCTACAGAACAAGCTGCTGACGATTGACCGGGCCGAATTACTGGCGGCAGCAAGATGGTCAACCGGTCTGTGAGGGGGAGGTTTCCGATGCCCCCCTCTCTCTAAACTAAAATCTGACAGGCATCATTAAACTAGGGTATGGACCCACCACAGCGGTCTCCCCTTCGAGGTTGTGCTCCGATTGTCTTTCGATTACAGGCCTCGAGCTACGTACTTTCGATCGAGACAAAAAATTGGACTGCATTTGGCTGCGGACGGAGAAATTGAGCCCGGTCAAAGTCCAATTAAAACGGACTGAAACAGCGCGGGTTATGCTTCCAGGCCATGTATTTTTCCGTGAGTTATCTTCACAGGATGCTGCTGAGTTGCCGCCACTCAGAGGGGACAGGCTTTCATCAAGTCGGTGTTATGGTCGCCATACCCTTGCTACTATATATGTAAACGCGAAGCATCCTAGTAAATCAACAAATCCTATCTAGTATATAGTTGACTACCCAGGTCAGAAACATCGCACGAACATGGATGGGCAATGCTGCAACGGGCACCCGGGACACAGCTGTCCCTCACAAGATTAACCGCGGCAGACCCTATTGCGCGTCGGCTTGTCGAGCTTCGCCATCGACTGCATACTAAAGACCTCGGCTACTGCATTCCTACAGCTGTAAAAAAGCACCGTTGTCTTGTACGAGGCACGTATCCGCACAGCGCGCAGAATACAGATAGGAAACCCGCGTATTATGCCGTACGTGTGTGCGTGGGAGTTCGCTAGCTTGGGGTCTTAGTAGCGGTGATCCTCACTTGTATACCGATATTTTTCTTCTTGACTGAAGAAGAGATATATCGCTGTTCGTTTTCACCTATGTGATTGTGGACCTCTGAATTCTTCACCCCTTTACAAGGGCGAGCACCCCACCTTCTACTGCTTTTGGAGAGTCCATCGGTGGCACAGCTGCATGATACACTGTCCGTATGTGTACACTAGCATTAAGTATGACTGCAGTCGACGTACAAAAAGAAAGCCGAATGAAGTCTGGTAAACACAATTTCCTTCACCCAGCTAGTGGGGTGCTCCTTTTCCGCACAAGCTCCAGGAATCCCGAGCGGATCGTGCCGATCCAGACGATAATAACCCACACAATTGGCATGGCCCCGGCCGGGTTAACCCACCACGAGGCCTCACCACCAAAACTCGTCGGCTAAGAGGTCGGGTCCGACCCAGCCTGTTTCTCAGCATGTCTTAGATTAATTCATTTAACCTGTTGATTAACTTATCCTCGTCCGAAGGGTTTTAGTGGTGATCTACAGAGTAAGGACCAAAATAAATACACAAGCTTCATAACGTCTGTAGGTTACAAACTCCAAGTTGAAATCAGAAATTTATAGCTATACCTGAAGTGATTCAATACTAACAATATTGAAACTTATCAAAGCTTTCAATGAAAACAGCTGGAGTACTAAAGCTCACTTTGCATGGTATATATCCTGTTGAGGTGTGGACTAGTAGGACTGGTGTAGGACCATTACAGCGTAGATAAGGAACCGGCAGCAGATAGGCTACAGAGTTAGGCAATATATAGAACAGGTATAGCAGGTATAGAGGGGTAGGCAAGGTGCTCCAGGCTAGCACTAGAATAACATTCATACTGTTTTTTCTCTATATAGCTAGAAGAAAAAATGAAGAGCGATGAGTATAGACGATAACTTTTTCAGCTTTACATATAGTAAAATTCTTTTTTCAGTTTACATAGGGTAAGATTTCTACTATCTATATTACTTATCTTTTTACCATTTCACTTCTTTATGTCCTGTTGCTGAAACATTTTATATATAATTTCACTTTATATTGAAGCTGTACAGGAAGTTAGGGGGGTGTAGCATCAGTTCAACAGTCTTATATAGATTACTGTTTACCGCCTACCTTTGGGGCCTTCGCTAGGTTTGAATAGACATTATAGATAGCTGAAGGTAGTCAGTCTCCAAACCTCGTCCGCCTCTCTTGCAGGTGCCATCACTCTAACTCTTGTTGCTCTGAGATCACGAGGAAGCAAGCTCGATCTATGAAGGAGAGCAAGTCTTCCAGAAGAGCGAAGGGAGGTGTGCAAAGGGCTTCAGACGGAGGCGGCTGGAGGCTCCGAGTTATAGGTCAAGGAAAGTGAATGGATGATGAATCCAGCTACGTAAGGCTATCAAAGCGAGGAACTATCACCATACAGGTTGGCGGGCTGGTGAGAAACGCGGCTTCGGCGATCAAAGGCCCTTAAGGCTGCCGAGAGTTAGATGTACAGGTTCAAATAAAATCTGCATGCATACCTTGACTAGTACTATCAGGTTAGAACTACAGTCGAATAGGATGTTTGGGGCCTGGTTATCTTCCACTTCTCCCTCTGTCTGGTATTCAACTCGTTGTTCGAAAAGCAGTACCATAAAGCCATTCGCCTAGTCCGAAAGTGAAAACCAAACAGAAACAGAAGCCTACGGCCCATCCCCCCCCCCACCTCAACCGCATCGACTCGATTACCGGCCGCGCGTCAGCCAATACAACCCAAAGATCCCGGTAATGTTCACGATGAAATACACGGCGGAGAGGCCCAGATCGCGCCAGCGCATGCCGACCTCGATCCCCAGCTGCGCCAGCATCGTGTTCATGTCCGTTACGGGGCAGAAGATGCAATCCTCGCCGGCCGCAGCCGGGGTTTTGGGGTTCAAGCCGCGGCCGCCCGCGCGCTGGATTTACAAGGCCAGGTAGGTGCCGCAGGAGGCCGTGAAGTGGTTCTGTGCGGCGGTGGGCCAGGGAATGGGGAGGAGGTCGACGGCGGCGCTGACCATGCCGCTCATGAGGTATGTGACGGGGCTGACCCGGTACAAAAAGATCCAGAAGCGGGGGAGGGCGGTGGGCTGGACCAGAATGCCGCAGAAGAGCAGACACAGGGGGAAGAGGAGGCTGGCGATGTTGACGGCGGTGAGCGCATCGTGCAGACCGGCGGCGATGGCCTGCGAGAGGGTGGCGAAGAAGACGAAGAACAGCCAGAGGAGGAGGAAGATCAAGCCCGCACGCGAGGACATGTCCACGCTACTGTCGGTGTGGTCTTGCAGACTGTTGCGCCAGAAGCCCATCGGATAGTACCACGGTCAAGGACGCCTAGGAGGTGGTTTCCGATGCTCTCTCCGCCCACTCGCCTGCTCGGCACGGCGGCAAGCGGGGCGGGTAGGATCTTGAAGGACTAGAGCACCTGCTGGAACATTCTAAGCCCACTGCTTGGCGGGCAATGTCCGCCTCTTGGGTGGCTCTCCGAGCTTGTCTTTTAGCCCTCAAGGCCTCCAGGCCGCTGACAACGCTACCAATAAAGCCAACGCTCCCAATAACGGTGCTAGCCAACGACAATTTATCTGCCGTACTCCAAGGCTCGCTGTAACTTTCAGCGAGTCTATCTCGGTCAAGGATGATCATCAGTTAAGAACGAGCGACGTGCATGACACCCGTCGTGGTGGGAACTCACTTGAACACGCAGGAATCAGCATGTGTCTGAACTGGAGTATTAATGCGAACCAAGAAGTAGGAATTATCATACGGAAATGAGGAATTCAGGGGTGTCGAGGGGATTGGTATATTGACACTCCCTTGGACACAAGAAGGGTGATCTGGGGGCTGCGCGACATAAGCATCATCATCGACGACATCACTGAAAGGGCGAATGGAAACAAAGCAGGTGTCACGCCCCGGGTTCGCGTTGAGGGTCCAGGAGACGGAAACGATATCCCCAGGAACCAGGGTATTGCCGCACTTGTCGACGGTGATACTGTTGAAGCCATAGGATGTGGCTTGAGCGGAGATGGCAGGCCATTGGAACGCTAAACATAGCAGGAATAAATATAAATAAACCAGGTCTGTGAACTTTGCAGCACTGCCAAACGAGCCCCCTGTTACCTCACATGAGACGGGGCTTGCAGAGCAAATAGCAAAAGGTATAAATCTGGGGTACACCATTCTTATAACGACAAGAGCCGCCCAGTGAGTCGACCTTGCGGAAATAAAACCGCGAATCGCGTATTTTGTAATATCACTCCAACCTCCTATACCGTGGGCGAGTCAAACCCCAAATAGAACCCATGTACCCACAGTGTAATCAAGCTTCGCTGACTGTAGGTTATCCACGGATTGGTAGCGGGATGTAACTTCATTCACTCGAGATCCACGCCCGGTGCAAATGACCACAACTAATCGAGAAAGTCCAACAAAGGTTAGCAAAAGAATACTTTTGTCACTGACGTCTATCGAATCGTGGTATATAGCTCTACAATGGACTTTGGTCGGTATACGAGCGCTCCACCTCTCGTATTTTGACTATGGTCAATTTCAAAGCACCCCACGGTACGACGAGATCATTCCAGAGGACCTTGCAAAGATGGAGTATCCTTTGTTCGCCAATTCCCGATCCTAAATCAACCGTCTTCAATCGCCCCAGATGAGACTCCTGTTCAGGTGCCTCCCAGAATTTAAGCCTTGTTCTTGAAGTTATAGGCTCCCGTTTCGCTTCCTAGTCAAGGCCTCACGCTAGGCTTATCTCGCTCAACTATAACTACCTTCTTTGCGAAGAATTGTGCCTCTAGTGAGTGTCGATCAAGGCTAATTTACAACGGACATTTTTTGGGCGCATGCAGCGGCGTGTTCCGGCCGTTCTGCAAGAGAAAGGGTTGCATACAATTATCTTAATCAGGGTGCTTACGTGGACCGAGGATAAACAGCCTCATCCGACTCTGAGAAAGCAATCGGGTATGCACGATAGCGTTTGTATCAACCCCGCATCTTTGATTGTGTCGATATATATGTATACATATAGGGAGGATTATCGCCTTGATCGGCCGAAAGCGGGAATCGATGAAGACCTTTTCTGAGGGACTATGTGTAGTCCAGCAACATCCTTGATCAAAGCTCGCAGCATTATGACTTGGTTCTCCCTGTAGTCTGCTCGCATGACTCCAATCTGCTAGCATCTGCTTCTAGTGACCAGACCGTCAAGCTGTGGGACGCCGGCAGGGGCGCCTGCGTGCTCAAGCTCCTCAGTATGTACTGTACTGTACTATACTGTACCGCACTGTCACTACACCTGCCAGGTGGCAGTGACCAACTTCCGGGACAGATCGGCTGACACTGTATCTACTAGAGCAGTTCAAAGTGACGGCGGCGCAGGATCTCCGGCTCATTCCGCAGTGGCCGGACCAGTTGGGGGCGTATTTCGCGCGGGAGGGGCTTACCGCAGTGGAGACCCACCGGGTGCAGGCGGCGGCGACGGCGCCGCACCTCGAGTTCGCCATGCACCAGTGCAATCTCCTGATGTACGAGATGATTGCCTCGCGGGCAGCGGAAGGATCCAGGGCCCAGCAGATCCGGACTTTGATTCCTCGCGTGGTGGGGGAGTCCAAACGGGGGGCGATGTACGTCATGCATCGAGTGGTGGTGGGGCAGAAGAAGCCTTGACTTCAGGGTTAAATACAATGAATTACTTCATTTGCGGCTGGAGAACATTGGCAATTGACAGGATTCGGGACTCGAGAGTGTAATGCTCCTTCCAGGAGCAGCAGCAGCAGCAGCAACAGCAGGAAGGTTACATTGCATTGCATTAGTCTTGGCCCCCACGAAACTGTTTGATCATTAGTTAGGGTAAGAGGACCTTAGTAAGACCTAAGTTAGTCTCTTGGTCTCCGTTTCTTTGTCAATACGTAGGAACTCGCATCCAAACATTTAAGGCCAAGTGTTCCCCCATAACCACCCGATTCGCGCGCCATTCTCTACTGATCCTTGACCGCCGTATTAAAGCCAACCTCCCAGCAAGCAATAAGTTAGCAAGCACATAACTGAATCTATACGAACCACCCTCAAATCCTCCTTCCCGTTTCCTCACTTGCTTCCCTTTCTTTCCCAAGAAAGCCAAAGCCATCATCCCATCTATCCCACCACAATGACCACCACCACCACCACAAACCCCACCATTGTTCTCGTCCACGGCGCCTGGCACACCCCGGCCAACTACGCCCCTTTGATCACCGAACTCGAATCGCGGGGCTTCAACGTCCACTGCCCCCACCTGCCCAGCTGCACCAACACCTCCCCACCACCGTCCACCTACCAAGACGACGTGACCACCGTCCGCCACCGGGTCACCAGCCTCGTCAACAACGGCGAGCGCGTCCTCATGATCCTGCACTCCTACGGCGGCGCCATCGGCACCGACGCAGTCCAGGGACTGGACTGGCCCTCCCGCGCCGCCACCGGCCTCCCAGGGGGCGTCATCCACCTCCTCTACCTGTGCGCCTACATCCAGCTGCCCGGCCGCACCGTGTGGGACGTGATCACCGAGGCCCAGATGACGGGCTTCTGGCCGCAATTCGTGCAGGACCACGAGGACGGCTCCACCTTTCCCGTGGACCCCGTCCAGCTCTTCCTAGGGGATTGCGATGCCGATCAGATTGCGGCGGCGCTGCCGCATCTCGTGCGCAGTCCGCTGAGCGCCTTCCATACTCCCGGGGGCGGGGATGCGTGGCGGCGACTGCCGGTGACATACCTCACCACCACCAAGGATTATTCGGTGCCCCGCGTGTATCAGGACATTATGCTGAAGCATGTCGCGGAGCAAGGGGTGGAGGTGAGGGTGGTGGAGGTGGATACCGCGCACAGTGTGTTTCTGTCCAGGCGCGACGACGTGATGAGGTTGGTGGACGAAGCGGTGCGGGATGAGCGGAATCCCTGAATTTGAGGGTGTTTGATCGCAGTTTCCTTTTGCGTCAGGGGGCGGTTTAAGTGGCGTGTTCCTTTCTTCTGGAAAACAGAGTGGGGATGGGGTGTTCTGATCTTGGCTGGGAGATACGGTGGGTGAGAGTCAGGAACTGAGGATTTATAGATATAGATGCTAGACGCTCTACAGCGGAACGCAATCGGAGGGGGGGATGTCTGGTATTGGGGGTGGAAGTTACGTCTGAAAATGAACTAAGGTCTCCAGATGAGTATACATGCACTTGAGAAGTCGGGATATTCGAGGTTATTGCGAAGCATATTATGTCCTGAGCCCTAGAAGGGACTGGCCATTGGGGGTGGGAGGGTGAGCCTGGCTCTATCTCTGGCGATGCACCAACGAGAACCCAAATGTATCCTTCGCCTTTGGCATATGTATCAACAGCAGCAGCAGCAGCAGCTTAGACAGGAGTGGACACATGACACAAAGGAACTGTGACTGTCCAGCCAAGAGAGATTACCTCATGGGCCGTGATGTAGGCGACTATAGCCAAACACTGTCTTTTATGCCCAAACTCTTGTATAATTGAACAAGATCCATTACTCTGACCAAAATACCATGTCTCCTCTAATTCAAATCCCAGCACGGGGGCTACAACCGAATACAAATTAGCGTCAGTCACAGCATTTTCCAATTCAAATGACCAATACATAAGAATCACTTACCACGTTTTGAATCACCACCGTGGTCCCAGCCGTCACCTGTGTTCTAACCAACTGCCGCAAGTCCGTGGCGGCCGGCACAAATGGATTAGGGTTGATGGCCGGTCTCCCCGCGGTGCCCCCCGTGCACGGCACCACGTCGCCCAGCGCCGCCCGGGGGATTCCGTCAGTCAGCCCGGCATCCAGCTTATACTGGTTGGCTGTGTTCTGCAGGTACGTCTTGATCGCTTTGGACATGCTGCCCAGCCCGTTGGCCATGAACTGCGCCCGCAGGTCCGGCTGAGACAGATAGTAAGCGACCATGCCAGCGGTGATGGCGGTCGCCTGGGAGGTGCCCGCCGGCTCGACCGCGTATACATTCAGCTGAGACGTATCCACCCCTTGGTCGTTGTATCCCACGGTAGCGCAGTCGACGTTGGTGCCGACGTTGTACAGGGTCAGAATGCCGCGCTGATCATTGTCCCGGAACTGCGAGTTCGGATTGCGGCTGTTGTCGAACAGAGCGTTTCCAACCACGATCAGGGGCGTGTCGGCGCCGCCCTTGCCCCGCGGGTACAGGTAATTGAGATCAAGTTGCGCGGGGTCACGTTGCTGGGCTGCATCGTTGCCCGCGCTGCAGACCACCGCGATGCCGATGTCATAAAACCACTGCAGGTATTTGTCGAAGACGTCCTGCTGCGGCTCGTCGAGCGGGTTGAGACTCTCGCCCCACAGGAATGCCTGCCGAGGACCGCCTGTTCAAGAGGTTTAGGTTAGCAGAGGGAACAAGGGTAAAAGCAAGATATATGACACGAGAGGAAAAGGCCAGCTTACCGAAAGACATAGAGATGACGGCGTTGCCCTGGGCGCCATTGTTCACGATATGCCGGTAGATCTCCTGGAAGACAAAGCCCGCCCGGCGGGCGCGCATTCTCAGCATCACCCCAGCTTTGGATATTACCAGCTCGACGGGGACGAGCCGGGCGGTTTTGCCCATTGAGTGGTACGCCCCTGCCGCGAGGGAGGCCATGCATGTTCCGTGGCCATTCCGGGGTACAATCGTCAGCCCCGTGGTCCGGGAGCCTACGTCGTCTACGCCGAAGCTGTCATATAGTCGGTCGGCAAAGGACTGGATGGGAGACCATGTTAGCTTTGAATTTTCTACCGGCATAAATCGTAAGTTGGTAACTTCTATGTGTAGCTGACTACTTACCTCATGCCCAGCCAGGAAGGCGGAGTCAATGACATAGACTATGGGCGCGCCGTTGGCGTTCGCATTCGAGGGATCATTGTAGATCAAGTCGTCGAAGCTCAGGTAGTTCCCATACAGGTTGCTGTACCGTGAGACCTGAGAAAGCCATTGGAGATGGCCGGGGCTCTGCTGTTGGAGATAGAAGCGACTGTTGGCCGTCGGCTCGATGCGTGCCTGAAGGTGCGGCTGCCTTTCTGTGACGTTCAAATTGTCATCATTTAACCAAGGCTCATCATGGGGATTATTCATAGAGCCAGGACGGCTGGATCCCGCTGGTGTGGCGCTATACGACCTCTTCTTCGCTGATACTGCGTCATCAAGGGTATCGTCGTTGCCATCCAGGTCAATTTCTCCATCAACACTCCACGCGTCAACGATGGGATTGCTATTGAACTTTTCGGCGGTGCATTGGTCGACAATTCCCATGTATACAAACTAGATGTTCACATTGCTCCCATTAGTACGAGTTGTATTAGTTGGTGGGGATTGCAAAGCGAAAAGCTTACGTTCGGCTGCCACGACTCGGTAAATTGAAGAGCCTCGGGATCTTTTGGCAGGGTTGCGACAAAGTCTTGAAATTCTTGGACGGTGGTTCCTTCTACCGTCATGATAATGACCGGGCTCGTGGTAGCCGTGGCGGCACAGGAGGTGGAAGAGGTGGAGGAGGACGTGGTGGATGTCGCCGTGGTCATCATGGTGGTGGTGGTCGGCATGATGGTCGGTGTCGCGACGGGTGGCGACCCGTTACTTTCGAACAACGCGGCCAGAGTTGCCATGACGAGGACTATGCATTATACAGATGAGTACTAGGTCCAGAATGGCGGTTCTGACGCGAAGGCTTACAGATTCCAGTGGCCGAGGCAGCCGCAGAGACAGGGAGTCCGATAGCATTGATCTGTCAAGGTTAGCTCAACATGTTCGTCTTTTGGGAGAGAATCAAGCAGACAGACCGTAATTCTAAGTTGAGAAATACTCGCCGCGGCGTCGATAGCCGGGGTAACGCCAGCCGCAATGGCGTCGGAGAGCTCGACGAGGTTGGCATTGAGATCACGGATCACCTCGATCATTTGGCTCTGGAGGGCATCCACTAGTAGCCAGGAGTGAGTATCGTAGCCAAGCTCATGGTGGGATCGAACATACCTGCATTATCCCACTCCTCAAACGCTTCTTCCGACACACGCGGATCGTCTTCGTCAATGGTATCCAACCGCCGTCCCAACGTCAGCAAACGGTCACCGTTCGCTTTCGCGGCCGACAGACTACTCGACGCCTCATTTGCAGCGCTCTGATCCCCCATCATCTGCAGCTCAATCTCCTCATAATCACTCTGATCCGCGCGCTTAACCTTGGCCGAAGAAGACTGCAAGAGACCCTGCAGCGTCTCCAGATGACTTTGATATGATTCGAGCACCTGCAGCGCCTGCCAGACACTCGCGTTGTATTGATGAATAGCGCCTGCCAGCTCCGCGTAGGTGGGATCCTCCCAGGTTCGATCGGCGTAGATCTGCACGCGGTTTCCCCCGCCGCAGGTTTCGGCAGTGTTGCCGGAACAGGGCATGTTGCAGTCGCTGTCCGAGTAGGCTGTTCCGTCGTGGATGGTGTTTCCGACGAAGCATTGTCTGGGGGGTTATGGTTAGACTGTCTTTGACATAACGGAGGTTGAGTGGAGAGAAGGGATGGGGCCGTACGTGCTATATTCAACACCCGCGTATCGCCATGCACCGGCTTTGGCGAGGGATACGCAGGCCTCGACCGTCATGCCCGTGGCGTCTTCTTTCGAGTCGGCTACCAGGACACGGGGGCTCTCTTGGTCGGAGTAGCAGCCTAGGAAGGAGAAGGAGTCCACTTGGGGTGGTCGGGTGGGGGTGGAGGAGACAGATGAGGTGGTCGTGGTCGTGGTGGACTTTGATGTTGTCGAAGCGGAAGAGGTTGAGGAAGTGGTGCTGGTCGTCTTCGAGGTGGTCGAGGTCGAAGTAGTAGTCGTAGTAGTCTTGCTAGTCGTCGTCATAGTGCTTGTGGTACTTCTCGTTGTAGTGGTCGTCGTAGTGGTCGAGGAAGGCACGACTGGCGGCAGAGATGTCGTCGTACTGGACGACGTCGATCTTATAGTAGTCGTTGTCGTCGACTCCGCACCGCCGATACACTGATTAGTACCACAAGTCTGGCCAGGGCTGCACACATTGCAAGCAGTCCCGATACTGCATTGAATGCTAGGGAAGTCGCAGCAGACCGCGTCAGACGTGTAGCAGTTGCCGTGGCTGCGCCTATCGTCAGCAAGAAACCCAGCTTAGATATTTTCATACAACAAATACAAGCTCACCAGCATAGACCACTATCGCAGCCAACACCTTGCAGCGTAGTAGGGTTCAGAGCACACCACTGCAACCCGGGCGGCGCGCAGGCGTAGTTACCCTCAAAGTTGATGCACGTCTCTCCGGACGGACACACCACATCGCTCGGGCAGTCCGATTGCTGGCAAAAGAAGCCATCCGGACAGGAGGGATCTGCCGACGATGTTGCGCGGCGGACATTTTTGGGTGCTGATAGAGGAGCTCTCAGGGGACTCGCGGCGGAAGTTGCTACAAGACCCAAGGCATATAGCAAGGTTACTGCCCTGCCCACGGTCATCTTTCTGATGCGCAGATGACCCAAAGTCTATTGATACTCGGGCATTAATCTCGGATCTTTGAAGGAATGCATAGTATTCTTATAGTAGAGCCTCTCACCAGGGACTGGCGTCGGAGTAGCAACCCTAATAGGACGGGCTGCCACGCGAGCTGAACCCTCGGGCCCGCTGTACAGTCAGAACTAATGTAGGGGATAGGATTTTTTTCTTCACGCCAAGCCATAAAAACGAGGTGACTATACTCGTCTATTGGGAACTATCAGCTTCAGGGTCACTAAAGGGCACTAAAGGGCATTAACCCGCCGCTAAAAGAAGGGGTTTGTGCCTCATGGCCCCCACAAGTCCCCACGCAGCTCGTGTTCGGTAATCTGCTTACGCTCGGCAGCTGAAGTAGATTACTGATCTGTCTCCACTACTACGGCGCATGTGCTCCCTGCATGACTCGTCACTTCAGACATATAGTAAATAATTCCCTGCATATTCAACGATGGGGAGGAGCTTCTACTCACGCTTATCCACATCAACCACACCGGCCATGCCCCGGTTGTACGCTCTCTTAGGGCTCCTCGCCTCCGCGGCCGCCCTCAACCCCTCCTGCAGCCCCGGCGGCAACTTCGACCTCACGAAATGGAACCTCCAACTACCCACGGGAAGCACGGGCAGTCCTCAGACGATTCCGGGGTCTTCCTTAGCCGGATGCAGCGGCTACAGCAGCAGCGTCTTCTACACCGACGGGTCG